GAGAAGCTAGCTGATATGTACGCTTGGCGGAGTCCGGGAATGTCCTTTGTTAGATACCAGAAGCAACATGTCTATTTACCCGGAGGTGAGATCTCGGGCCGACGAAACAGGAACAGCGGGAACTGGCTGCAGAGCCTTAGGTTAAACGCTTGCTATCAGAGTCGGAGTTCCACATCACTGCGATGAGTATCCCAGTAAGTATGTCCAGATATTTACATTCTAATGCAGAAAAACTGACGTCTGTGCAGACGACCTTGGGCTTCATCGCATCGCTCCCTGCAGTCTTCACTGTGTCAGAGCTCAGCAATATGCTTTATAACGCGAGAAGTTGAGAAGCCACCGCATGTTTTCCATCCTCGCGGCCAGAGATCATGCATATCGCCGAACTCCACCCGACAAGGTGAAGAACCAGCACTCGCCGTCTGGAAGTTCAGCACTGACATGAATGGTTGAAAAACGACACAATCCGAGGTACATGAGGTACTATGATACACTGATGCCGCCGGTAACGAAGGAGTGGATCGCCTTGCAGAAGCTGTTACCACCGAACCACACCCAACATCCAACTACCAAGGTGCCACCCGCTCATCTCCGACGAATGGCATTAACGGGAATGATGAAAGACTGACAGCAATAATTGGACTCCATCTGATAGAAAGTCCGTCAGAATATTGGACGTCCACAGATGACGATTTCGAGCGTACTCTAGAGTGGTATACGAGGACGGAAAACCAACCTCCAGAAAGGAACGAGTACGGAAGAGAAACCTGCTGAAGGGATTAATGCGGAGGTTGTCTGGTCTATGAAGCTTGTATCTTGAGAGAGCTCGCTGCTCACGATGTTGCTGCTGTATCGAATACTATTGTAAGTTTTATCTACCTCCTATATTCAACAAAGTGCAAAGGCATCGACCATTTTTGCGCGTTTCCGCGACAAACCCGAGAACATATTCTAAGTTGATAACCGCCGCCTCGCTTAAGATCTTAACAGTCACGTTGTGCGCTCGAATGAAAACTTCCCGTCTGACGAGTATGACGAAAGCTGCCTACGGATGTAAAACATACCCCTGTTGCAGCTAATCACGGGGATTGCCCTGTCTCGATCCCAACGGGGGCGATGTACGATTCGGCGCAATTAATGCGCCTCATACTATCGATGCGGACATATCGCCCCCCCAAACTATCATCCCCGCGGAATCGGTACGTCATACATCTCAGTGCCAATCATCTTGGCAATTGATGCTGACCTTATTCAGAAACCCAACCGCCACGTCCATCTGGACGGCCAGCAAACACCTACAGCCGGTGAACGTCAACGAGAGATATCGTCGTTCAATCAAAACGAACGAAGTGCGATTGAGTCTACTGGGAGTCTAGGACGACCCGCAAGTATATAATGGTTGTCGCCTCGGTGCCCGTGCCGAAAAACGACGGAGGTATGTCAGTAGGGGCAACCTCAATCGTGAGAACATTGACTGATATTGTGCAGAAGCTTCGCCATCCATCGCCCCAGAGCAGGTCCAAAAGACATTCGTGGCGCCCAACGTCGGGCCTTCAATAGCAGATCAGTAGCAGGCTCTCCCTCACCTTTTACGCCGTGGATCTTCGCGCTTGTACAATAGGTGTACTACACCTAAGTACCGCGCTGCCTTATATTTGCAAACCTACTCCCAAAATCAGGGAAAAAAATCTACTCCATTAGGTAGTCGACTGCGTATTTATGGAGAGCCACAGTGACTGCGGCGGGTGCATAGGGAAAGGTGGTACGGCGTTCCACCATATCCTGAGTGATATTCCCTGGGAACGACGTGGGGTGGGAATTCGAACCTCTTGTAGTTTCATTGATATCAGGGGGCCTATCTACATAACAGCAGTATCCGCCCTGTCCGTACACTCCGTCCGCTCCCTCCCTCTTCCGTGTTCCCACAACTCCGCCGCTCCCTCTCCCTCGACTGGCCGTTGCCCGTCGGCTCCCCCGTGGTGTCATCTCTTCCCGCCCGTCGACACCTCCATGCTCCCACAACTCCTCCGTGCTCCCATCGCTCTGCCGTGGTCCCACAACCGGCCCGTGCCCGTCGACTCGTCTGTGCCGTGATCTCTTCTGGCCCGTCGACTCCTGCGTACTCCCACAATCCGTCCTTGCCTGTTGACGCGTCCGGGCCATGACCTCCTCCGGCCCATAGACTCGTCTGTACTACCACCTCCCTTCCGTGCCGTCACAACCCTTCGCTACCATCACCATTTCCGCGCCATTGCACTTGACTGGATCTCTCCTTCAACCATTCCGTTCCTTCACTCGTTCGCGGCATCGACTTCATCCCACACCTCTTTCTTTCTCTCTCAACTCTTCCGCTCCTTGAGTCTTCCAATGCTTGGCTCGTTCATGGTATCTCAGTGCTCCCTCGCCGGAATCGTCAATCCGTCAGTAGCATCAACTCTTCCGTACTCTCTCGCCTCTTCCGCTCCGTCGCCTTTTCCGCTCCATGGACTCTTCCGTTGCCTCAACTCTTCTATTTCTCGACTTCTCTACACAGTCCTTTCATTGTCGACGTCAACATTTCCGCTCCCATGACTAGAACACTCACTCCACTCTTCCGGAGTCTTGCCTCTTCTGGTGCCTTGAATCTCCCACGCCCTCAACGTTTCCACTCCCTCGGCTCCGCCATACGGTCAGCTCTTCGGCACCGTCAACGCTTCCGTTTGTCGACTCTTGTGTCTCGTCAACTGTTCCGTCCCGTCAACACGTGCTGCCATCAACTCGGAGGTGCCGTCAACCCAGGACTGCTGTTTCACAGTAGGTCGGAGAGGCCGGCCCGCGTGATATGCCCTGATGTAATAGGTGCCTATGTTGGGTGGGAGACGAAGATGGTTCTTGAAACATGTCGATGGTTGCCTGTTCACCTTTGGACCGCGTCATGCTGACTCCACCCAACCGAATACCCCGCTGTTATAACCGCGGATGCAATGTCTCTCTCCTCTGCCTCACCCTGCCACTCCTCACCCTCCGCATTCTACCCTTCCCACTGCTTCTAGTGGTCCTGCTCGATCTGCTGCGGAAACAGCCTCCTCGTCCTAGTACGAAAAGACCTTCCTCGCCCCGCTCACCCAGCTCGTCTTGCATCGGAAACCATCTTCTCTCCCTGCCGTCTGGCAGCTAATACCAAGTCTCCCTACTACGGCCGCACTGCTGTGCCCGCCCTCCTGGAACTACCACTGATACTGTCGTATCACTAGATAGTGCTCTTCGCCTACTCGTCCTGCTCGTCCTGCTCGTCTTGTTTTCCTAGCCATACCACTTGTCTTACGCATCCTATTCGTCCCGACGCCGAAGGATTCTCCTCGCCATGCTCCTAGCCCAAGTCGCCCTTTCGCGGATAGATTCTCCACGTTCCAATCGTCCTCCTCATCCTACTCGTATGGCCCCAACCTGATTCTAGTCGCCATACTCGTCCCACTCATCCTCCTTAACCTTCTCGTCATGCCTCCGAACGAACGTCGTCGCTCTGGAACGGCTACTTCTCGGTGATTTGGTTTAATGTCATCGGGCATCAAATAGACCGAGTTGGGATCGGACGGATAAGATGGGAACGGACGGATATTGTGGGACTTGATCTGTTGTATCTCCTTAAATATTCTCTCTGTTGGCCGCTCTTTTCACAATAAGTGCCGGCACAGCCGGAAATTATGTTCGAAACCAGACCCAGTTCCGGCTATGGCCCGCAAACCCGGGGGCACCTTTTCAGATTCAGCACCGGATTGAAGGGCCGGCAGACCATACTGTGGGCAGAGTTGCGGAAGGTGAAGGAGAGGTGCAAGGCAGCCTCAAGATTCGAATCCTCTTCTGAGGCGAGCGGCAAAACCTGGTTATCCGGGGCTTCATCTCCTTCGCCGATGTGAGCACCGGGCGATTCGATCCTAGAGGCTGCTGGCCAGGATGTAATAAGTGCGTTATTTGAGTGGAGAGTGTGGCAGTGGGCAAAGAGGGTGGCTGATTTAAAGAAGAAGATGAGGGCACTGATTTTGATGTGGCGAGATCACTCCCGGTGTTCCCAATGCTCTACATAGCTAATCTGGTCTCGTCCGATCTTTTTCGGGGACGGGACCCACGCACTCCGTCCCCTCCAAAGTCTCGCTGGACAATGAGAGAGCCCACGTGGTGAACAGATCTGAACAGTGGTTGAGACTTTATCGACATTTGTCACCGCCGGCGCGACATGTGCTGTCAGTAGTGTGCCGAGTGTTCCGAAGTGACGCGTCGATTTTGGAACACAAAGCCAGTGTTCTAAATAGTCCGGAAGGGCTCGACGAGATTAGTACACTCCCATCACTTCCTTTTGGAGGACATGAACAAGCTGGGTGGTCACGTCCATCATTTTGCTAGACGGAAGTTCCTCTCAGGTGATTCACGTCGCCTCGTGGTTTTGGGCTTTACTTGCATCAATTTGGGCAGTCGCCTATGGTCGACAGAAGTAGGGACTCGAAGATGACGAATTTGTCCTTTCCTAGTGTTCTTTCCTTGGAGCGCTCATATATGCACACGGGACAGGCTACTAGTAAGGCGGGCACTCAGTGTGCGGAAAGCGAGATAGGGGGCTCTATGAAAGCCGTGGGATTGGACACTAGCTTGGAATGGGAGTGTGTATGTGTGGATATTGAGACCATCTAGATATTTGAGTAGCATGCACTTGATCGGTGCACAACGAAAAATCAATGAAGTATTTTCGCCTTGCTATAATGGCATGTAGCACTTCACATCACGCTGCGTCACGTGTTATAACTGCAGTCAGCTTTTCTCTCCCCACTATATACAAAGTCCACCATCTTGGTTTACTCGTATTTATCACAGGTAACAATCGGTCACGATATCACATTGCACAGTCCAATTAGGGATATCATCATTGAATTCTCTCGCATCTGTTTTCTCCAAATTTTCTCATTCGCCCCTTTTTTGTTTCAACGACACCCGCCCTCCACTTTCGTGCGTGTGATACAGACGCATTCCTAGCGGACCAGGAACGGCATAATGCGCCTAAAGTGAGAGTTTGTCATCTTGCTGTGATCGATGGCGATGCCATTTTCAACGTCGACGTCAAGGAAGAAGTCAGTGAGATCAGCAACCATCTCGCCATCCATGCGGCTGATGTCAACAACAGCGTACTTATTTCCAGCTCCAGTAGCGGTATAAGCGGGGGAGGACTGGATTGGAGCCGGATTCTGGCGCTGTCTCTTCTGGGGGGGGGCCTGCACGGGAGCCTGGGCGTGAATAGCAGCCGCAGGAGGAGCCATGGAGGCGGGAGCGTCACGGAACGCGCCCTCGACGGCGCCGAAGAAGTTACGGATTACATCGGTCTTCTTGCTGTACTGCTTCCAGCCCTCGGGAAGGTTTTCGAAAAACGCTGCGCTGCTGGCGAGCTGGCGAAGGTGTCCGTGGAGATGAGGGGTATTGACGATGCTGCCATCGTTCACGGCCTGGCGAGCCTGAAGCAGGAGGCAAGACTTGTAGCGGTGGTCGTGTCCGAACATCAGACAGTTCGGGCATTGCGTGTCTGGACGGAGGCCGATGGCTGGGAAGCGGATGAGGAATTCGTCCTTCAACTTGAGGAAGCTCAGCGGGGAGGAGGCGAGGGTGCTGTTTAGGTGATGTATTAGTGTTCTGTAGAGGCGAGGGATGATTGGGAAACGGAAAACGTACTCCTTGAGAAAATCGTAGTAAGACGACGGGAAGACCGGGATCTGCATGGCAGCGATCATGTCGGGAACGTCGACGGCGCTAGCATCTCTCTTACGCTTGAGAGCCAAGGCAGCAGCAGCCACATTGCCGCGACCGTTCTTCTTGGCTGTAATCTGGGTTTTAACAATGATTGTTCCATTGCGCGAGAGCGGAGCAATCAACTTACCAGGCCCAGCCTTCCGCATGTCATCCCACATCTGGATCAACTCCTCGATAGACTCGGCGCGGTCGTCGTTTTCTTCGTTAAGAGCTGAGACAATCAAGCGAAGGTCCGCGATAGCGCACTCGTACTTGTCCAAGTATGTTTCGTACTTCTGGCCAGCTTGGTACTTCTGAACCGCCTCGAGCGCGATAGCGAAGGGGCAGGTCTTGGTGGAGTTGACGACATGCCCACGGTAGCAGCAGCGAGCGCAGACAGCCTTGATACGGTCCCCCATGGTAGGGAGACCGGCTGTGTCGCACGGCTGCACCTTTTTCTTCGGAGGGGCCCGACTGCGGTTTCTCTTCGCAGCAGCCTGGAGTTTCGCAGCATTGCCGGTGTTCTGGAAGTAGTCCGCAGTATTAAGCATCATGTGGTCAGGATACGGCTTCAGGGGCAAAACCTCAAGACAGTCATCCATCTGATCCGCGTAGTTTCCAGCATATTGATCACTAATCTGTATGGACGTCCGTCTGTCAGCTTCCTTCTCGACAAAAGATACCAGGGAAAACGCACGACAAGATCTTGAGCAAATAAATGCTCGGGAATTCCCTCCTGTCCCACAATCCAACCTTGCTCGGCCAAGGATTTGCAACGGAAAAGGAGGCTCTCGAGGTTACCAATAGTAGCACTCTTGACACCAAACTCGGCAGTTCCTTCCACACCGCGCAAGGAGATGGCCCATTTCAATGACTGCTCAACGCATCGCATATCAACAAAGAAGAAATCGATAGCGTCAGGTTCATCCGCAGAACCAGTTCCGATGACCATCTTCACGTCGAAGTCATGATAGATGTATGACTGAAGACGAGCAACCGGACAATTCTTGAGATCATTTGGATCGTCATGGCCGGGATGCAGACACATCCAGCAGACGACATTCGGATGCGGGCCCATGACGGGCATGATTGCGGTGAAATTGTCGCGAAACGATTTTAACAGGACAGCGTTCGACTGAGTACGGTTACCGTGTAGGTTGACAGCGAGTCTCTCGGCGATCTCGTCTGTGTTCTTTCCAACAACCTTCTCAGATTCCCCAGAAACCACGACATTGTCTTCAACCAAAGTTGCGCCAGAGAGATCGTAATCATGAGAGATGACACGGTCATTGCCTGACTCGCCGATTGATTGCGATTCGTACGCGTCAACATCCATGAACGAGTCCATCGCAAAGTGCGACTCGTCGTGGTCATCTTTCATGCCCGCGAGGATGAAAGCTGCATCGTTGTCAAGATTCGCGAAGGCATCGTCGAAGTTAGAGTCGTCGTGGATATCGTTGTTAGCTCCGAGACTGGAAGCCGGCTCAACGTTCGAATCCATAATCGCATTGTCCAAGTGGGACTCGTGGTGAATATCGTCCGTACCGCCAAGGTTGAAAGCCGACTCGTTGGGCGAGATGCTGCCATAGTATTGGGTAACGATCGGTGTGTCAAAGCTCGTGAACTCGACAGCGTGAGGGATATCCGAGCCTGCCATACCGTACGTGTTGGAGCCAACGTCAACTCCGTTGGTGTTATCACCGACCATTGCGTCGTTCAATTGGATGTTGTTGACGTCGTGAGGGCCGTCCATCAACTTGTTGAGATCAACCTCAGGCGTGCCTGGGCTTGAGATGGTCTGGTAGAAACCCATGTACGGAGGACTGGAAGGGGCAGAGGACAGCCCCTTGACCCCATTCGCGATGTGCGCCCTAAGCAATTCTCTCCGATCATCTTCCTGCGATCTAAGCTTGGCGGCGTGATGGTGCTTGTAGAGCTCAAAAGGAAGCCTCTTGTCGGCATAGTTGATGGTGTCCAAGGTGGCACCATGAACCATGTTACACGGGTAGCGTTCGGCCCACTGGATGAAGTCGATCTCGGCTGGGACGGGGATGATCTCCTCGCCGGGCTCGAGGGCCTGACCGATGTAGTCGGAGAACTCTACAAAGCCGTTGCTATGCTTGTGTACAACGTAGGTCTTGCGGTTATGGAGAGACTGGGACTGATGGCAATCTTAGTAACCATTTAAAAATGAATGAAAGGATCCGGATACATACGGAACTGCTAATGGTGTTCATCGTAAACTTGGAAGGGAACGAAACAGTAACTTGAGGCGTCATATTATCAATTATTCGACAGGAGGTGTTTGTGCTAGGGTGGTCGAAGTGGTAAATTTCTGACGAGATCTTAGTGTGTGAAGAGAAGAATATGTGCGAAGAGATGAAGTGCGAAGAATTATATTGTTGAGTACGTTAGCGTGCAGGATTGGTCAAAGAGGTTGATTGGATGGGGGGTAGAAGGAAACAGGAAGGATGAAGGAAAGAAACGAATTAAGAGGGTGGAGAAAAAGGGTAGCGTAGAAATACTCCAAGCTCTTCACCACACATCACTCCCCCATGTCAAGAAATTTAGCCCTAAGAAGGGCAGCAGCAACTGAAGGGGGGTCGTATGCATCTGATGATGAATGATAAAAATAACAGGATTAAACGAAGAAACGGCGGACAGAAAAGAGGAATCAAGCAGAAACGGAGAAAAAAGGAGCAGAAGCAAGAACCGTCAAAGGAAAGAAGTGAACCCAGGTGGGTCCATAAAGGGCTGCGAAAAACTTACTACTGATGTCGGCGAATAATCTCGGGGTTGAGGATTGTGATTGGGATCGTCGAATATCTTCAGGAAGAAAAGCCAATCAAGAGGTGATTTATTGGGGATGGTGTCGAAGTTGGGGAATGTTGAAGGTTGGAGAGAAGGAAGGTTGAAGGTGGGAGACAAGGAAGGGAGAGAGGATGGAGAGAGGGAGGATAGATTTTATTTGGCGTCAGGTGCGCCTGCAGCGGCTATTAGCACAATCGTGGCCTCCGTATCAGCTTGTGATTAGGGCTTAGACCTTCTCGTAATTTTCGAATTGGCAGTGTGAGCGCCATAAACATTGAAGTCGTACATACTGACATCAGGTCTTCACGTTCACTCACGAGCTACGTGATATGTAAAGTGGTCACGAAGTTCATCAATGATCCCTGTAGATAATCGGTTGTCTTATGGTGAAAAGCTGGGTCTGCATAAAATCAACAGCCTCCTGCGGCTGGACCCACAGGCGCACCGCAAGCTCGCCAGCGGTCTCACACAACAGCGGATCCGCATGCTGGCCATCATTGCAACATCGTGAGCCCGAAATCACCCGTCTAGCGATGGGTCCCGAGGAAACCGGCGTGCCTATTTTGTAGCTGTGATTTGTAGCCCATAGATTCCACTCATTAGCAGAAACTATAACCAGCCTGAGTTTTGCCATTTACGGAACGCTTTCCACACCAACTCACGCCCAAACGCCCACGAGGCACAGCCAACTCAATGTTTGTCGCAGGTATCAGAAAGCCCTCGTGCATGACG